AACCCCCCCCCCCCCCCCCCCCCCCGGTGTATGCCATCGGGGTTGGGGTTTCGTCGCTTGGCAACGACGTTGTAAAACAAGCCAATTCACTTCGTGAACTCGGCAACCAGGGTACCGCTATTTTTTTTACCGCTTTTTTTTTGCGGTACCAATGAATGGTGGTCGAGTAGGTTATGTTGTGCGGGGTCGAGAACCGTCACTCCGCGCAACGGGGGATGATCGCACCACGTTGTGCTAAATTGGTGAAGCACCCTTGAGGCAGTTACACAGTGCTTACAACTGTCTCTGGAAGTGAAAGCACCAGAAAATAAATTAAGTCATACGCAGCTGCCATCCGTACGCAAGGAAGCAAGCACACGATGCCGAACACCCTTAGCAGGATGCAGCGCACCCTTCATGCGACTCGCCGAATACCTCACGGCGCTTCGGGCTTGGTGATGTGAGAGCCTGGTCCGGTGAGAACCCGGCGTGCTCCGTCCCGGCTTTGTAGGGATACGAGGTCAATGGTCTAACGACTACGGCATGCACGACTATGAGTACATCCCCCACCTATGGCGGAATCCGGTGTGGAACTGCCCGAAAGGACTCCTCTACTTTGTTAGTGTGGGTGACTAGCACCTCCCAGGCAGCCAAGAAAAGGAAGGAAAAGGAAGGAAACCATAGAGACCGAAGATGAAACGGTCGTTTGTCCTTGTCAAACGTCCGATAGACAAAGGAGAAACCATGCCGTTTGTGGCGTGACTTTTAGGGCCGCCACACCAGCAAAACGCCAAAAAAATCGGTCAACATAGTTGACAGCAAAAGCATCAGAAGCAGGTATTGAACAAAGGCATTACCACCGCGTCAAGGTCAACGGCAAGGGGCACCAGCAGCAGCGACGACAAAACACGCACCTTGGGGTAGTCTCGGCAAGAGGGGTTGATGGGCTGTCCCATAATGTCAAGGTAGTCCTCGGCAAGCACAGGAGGCGCGTTGTCGATGCACTTGCCGGACCCGTTGAAGGCTGAGTTTAGACGTGGAGGAAGGGGCGTCGTGTGTGAAACGCGCCCAAGGTGGAGTGCAGCCGGGGAAAGGAACAGACACGAATGGGACACGCACTCTTGACATTTTCATATCATAGTCCCTGGCTACCGTATATGACACAAGATAACACACCCCCTGGACCGATTTTCAAAGCTCGATTACTCCACGACGAAGAGGATGCATAAATGAAACAATACGTTTTCGAACAGCTCTCGACGAGACGGTTCCAACGCCGCCGTTTTCGGCGCTGTGACTCTTCCTGCTGTTGAGAAATCGAGCTTTGAAAATCGGCCAAGGGGGTGTGTTATCTTGTGTCATATACGGTATGTACCACGGAACAGAGATGTCTCTGAGATTGGGTCGAAATTGCATTGGTTTCATAAAGCGAAGGCACCAGCAACGGCACAGCACAAACATAGAATGCTATTTAGCACGGCCACCACTTTCGCCACAGCCAACATCATAAGCATCAACACGAAGAGGGTAACGGATGAGGGGGAGCGGCAGCAGCTACGCAACACGTAGGTTGGAGGGGGGGTAAAAACCTCACCTCAACGCATAGGATTGGTGGAGACGTAACGGTCGCCTCGGCATCGTATCTACTTGGTCCGAACTAATTCAACCTCCACGGACAGGTACGTGTTGTTGGCTTCGACGAACCAAAAAAAACACACAGACACACAACACGCTTCTGTCGGTAGAAACCTTTGACGTAGAAAAGCGTATTCGCGTATCCAAAGACTGACATGCTTTCATTGGTCAGCCGGTTACCGCGGTCGATGCTAATCCAAAAAACACGCCAACTATTCCGCAGCTATGCATAGCTCGAGCCTACACACGAACAGCGAGGACGTGCCGTAAAAAAAAAAAAAAAAAACGTAACGGTAGCTTACCCCTCCCGAGCATCTCCTCGGAGATGGCCATCTTAAGCACGTCCCCCGTGAAGGACACCCTTGTGTTACGGTTGTCGATTCCGTGGGTCCCCTCGAACACTTGGACCACCGCCCGGCTGCCGAACACCTCCAGGATCTGTCGATAGAGAAAGAAAAGGGTGTTGCAGGGAGAAGGGGACCAACAACGAGAGGGATGACCAACAACGAGAGGGAGAGGGATGACCAACGACGAGAGGGAGAGGGATGATCAACAACGAGAGGGATGACCATCAACGAGAGGGATGACAAGTTTCAGCGAATGTGCTTGTCGTCACACGACACCAAGCCTCATACTATTCGCGCGATAATACGTAGGAGCTTCGCGAAGGGAATTAGATCAGAGTTGCAAGGGCGGCGTTCAACCTGCTACGACGAGGGCGTATCGGAAAACGGCGGTCTGTTGGCAACGTATAGAGCCCTCTCTCCTCGCAACCGGGTACGCATTGGTTGAACTGGTAAGCTCGAACGGGTTGTCATTAAGCGATTGCGTGAATATTTCCAATACAGAAAATGAATTATATACTCACCAAAGGTACCCAAGGTCTTTTGGGGTGAGTGTGGGCGAGTCTACCCCGCAGCTACACCAATGTTTCGAGTACGTATGGCACCCGTGCACAGCACTCGGATTGACACGTACAAGTATACTTGAAGTAGTCATGGAGTCGGCCGACACTCGGGGGTTGCGGTTGGGTTTACGTAACCCTTGCCTCTCTACTTCATGTAAAATATTATTTTTTGGCATTGGCAGTCCGGACAGTGAAGGCGACACGTTGCAAATGCGTCCGTTGGACGAAGAATATGCCCAAGTAGTTTTGAAGCACATCCGTGGTATTATAACTCGATTGGATGTATGTCTACAACATGCGGAGAGTTCTTCGTTTTCGCGAAAATCAATTGGACTTTTCTTAGCACTGCAGCTGGGGGGAAGAGGTTCGACAGAAAAAAAAGGAATGAAGGTGGGGGGGTGGGAATCTGGTGTTGTCCAGATTGTTCGCACTCGTTTGTAGTTGTCGTTTTTCATTGGTGTAGTGCATGCGGCACACGCGACATCAACCACTCGCGAGGCAACAAACTATGCCACACAGATCCACTTGTTGACAGCATGCGGGAAAGAGTGGAAACATCGGCAATCTTTGAAAAACTTTGTCCCGTTTGTGTGTACTGTTTTGGGGGAGTTGGCCTGTGACTGACCACGAGGTTCCGCGTCCCTTGGACGGGCACGGGCGCCACTGAGCAGAGGCCTGAAAACGATTTTAGATGTCAAGAAAAAAACACAGCAACAACAAGCCGGCGGCCTGTGCCTTGCGATTCACCCATAGCGCGTATGGCTGTCTCAAGAGCGAAAGCAACCACGTTTTTCACGGGTTTCCATATTTCTTCACTTGGTGATGCGGCGGAAAACCGCGAGCCAGTGCAACACTGCGGGAATTCATTTCGATGTGCCTCTGAAGAGGAGAGAAGAGAAGAGAGGGTGCTGGATGTAGGCACAAAGGATTTTAATATCAATATATCACCACCAATAATAGCCTACCACAGAAACAGCTTCCCATACGTATATACCGCTAGTTGTTCCGCCGCCGGCCGTGGAACTGGTAGAACAGGCAATCGAATGATCCATATCGAGATGTCGCTATTGGGAGAGTTATTGCGTCGACTACCATTACTACTACACACACATGCGTGCCAGCTACCAGCCTTTCCTGAACTACTCAGGGGTGAAACGGTCCGGAACCAGGCAAGCAGCCCCCTAATTGCTCACCACCGCCGAACCACTTCGAGCTCCCACTGCGTCAATTCTTACCGCAGTTGTACTGAGATCACGAACAACTGCAAATGCGCATGTACAGGACAAACATCCCGCCCCCCCACCCTTCTCTGCCTGCCCGACCCAGGCAACAACTGCGAAGAAAAAACACCCATCCAAAATTGTGGCGGAAGGGTCGTTTCTGAGCTGCGGCCGACAAAACTGGTTTAGAAACTGCAGCTCTTCCGAATGGGGACGACATACGTACCGTCGATGACGCAAGATACCACACCCCCTAGATCGATTTTCCAAGCTCGATTTCTCCAAGGCAGAAAGAGTGGTAGCGCCGAAAACGGCGGCGTTGAAGCCGGCTCGTCGAGAGCTTTCGAAGAGCGTACAGTTTGATTCTTACATCCTGTCCGTCGTGAGCAACTGAGCTTATGAAAACTGGTCCATGGGGTGTGGTATCTTGTGTCATGTCACCTACGGTATATCGTGCCCCTCTCGGTGAATACGCGCTGTTCTTGGGCCGCAATTTATGCGCGAAATGTGATGTGTGCAAGGTCTTCTCGAGCAACTTTTTTGCCCAAAGTGCCGCCATTGCACCCAGCCCTGCGACGCAAACCAAACGCCTGGAGAGCGAGTTTCGGTTTCGCTTCGGTGTGCTGCTGTCACACCCTCGCCCCAGGGCGTGGTTTGGTTGCGGTTCTGATCGCATGGGAAACATCACACAGCAGTGCAGAGACAGCAGACGGAGAAGCACGGACGCGTTCGCTGTGTACTACGAGGGGTCTTCGCGGAGCAAGGACTTGTCGCTCGAAGTCAACAGCAGAACAGAGCTCCGTTGCTTGCCCCGCTTTGCAGACGGCCGCCGACGACAACACCCGAGTGGGCTGCTGCTGCTGCTGCTCAGCAGGAGGGGGTGATCGAACTCTGCTGATTTTCGTTCTATTATACTACTGCTGCGAACGCATCGTACCTGCCCTTGGCGCTTTTCGCCCGTCGACAGCGTCAGGTCCACGATCTCCGCGTACTTGGGCAGCTTCACGTTCTCCAGGATAACCAAGGGCCCGTTAACGCCCGAGATCGTCCGGTACTCCATGCGGGGCTCTACGTGGTAGTCGCGCACCACCGCTGCGGTGGCCGCATCCAAAGGACCCATAATGTTCGCCATCGCTGCCTAATAACACACCCGCGCTAATATAGGTTCTGCTCACGACCACTGCCCTCTTGGAAGGGTCACGCGCTGAATGCGAGAGCGCACGAGAGCAGGGATGGAACAACAGCTGAGTTGTTGCAGAGGTTTTGTCGCGCGCTTCGGCGGTGTGCAGGGTGTTGTTGATGATGGAACACAGGGCAGCATGCCAGAAGGCAGCGGCACCGAAGGTTCTTGATGACGGAGCTCCGTGGATCATTTTCGTTGGGTACCCCCAGGGTTCCGGCCTGGACGTGTCTGCTGCCCATCCACCTATGCATTGCGTGTGTTGCTGCGTGCAGTAGATCGTAGCAGGCGGAGGGGCTGCCGATCGGTAGCCATGAGTCGCGTGGTGAGATTGCTGGGTCGCACGAAGGCCTACATCACGGAATGCAAGGTGCGCTATACAGAGTGGATCTCAATCAGACAAGTGCGGCGAGATTTCGAACACATGAAGAATGGGGAACGAACCTATAATAAGCTGCTCATGTCCTGCAAGACTACCACATACTATATGCTGCCCAAACCTGATATGTACTCCCCAAACCTGAAACCAATTAATTAAATCAAACGCCCCCCATATATAATATGAAAGTTCGCGAATGAGCAACAGCAGCTTTCCAATTGAGGTTCCAGATGAAAGATGAAAGATGAAAGGTTCCTCCTGCTGATGGTCCGTTGGTGGGTTGGTGCAACCAACCGTGCTTTGTATACATTGCAGCAGTCGACCTTTTCACATTTGCTGATGCACGCTGGTTGCGTGCACCGCAGCAATGAATCCAATAGTGTCGTGTAGTATGGCGGCAAGAAAGTGAACTGCAGTATTGCGAACCCCACACTATTCAGACGGGGGCTGTAGTCGCACTATTTTTCACTCTATCGGCCGGCGCGCTATTCGGGACCGCACTAATATTGAGGGACCCGACAAGGATTTGAAGGCATTGCTTTTTAGAAAGCAAACATAACCTCACAGAAAGACTACCCGTTCGCATTGTTTTTACATATGTATGCATATGCGTGTTCATACGCTAGTAACGAAAGACTACCAGAACGGTTGGAGGCAGTACCAAAGTCGAAGGGAGTGTGTTGGAAGTCTTTACAGCAGTGAGTGGGGAACGAAGAAAGAAAGCCTGGAGGATACCGTGTACAACTTGGGGCTGCTTGAGTCTTGTACGTGTTGTAGTCTAGGCCTCCTACTGAACGTATCCGTGAGGCCAGCTGTTTGGTTTGTTTCGCACCCCCTTGAGTGTGCACTATAGTAGTGCACCAACCGATCTTGCCTTTGTGGCGCACAAGGAGAGGCTAAGGGTGCGGCGAACCGCCGCATGTGTAGGAAGGGAGTTCTGTCCCTTCGGATTGGCGCCCGAGCTCGAACAGGTACACAATGTACTGCGCCATTCTGTCATCCTATTGTCTTCTGTATGTTCTAAGAAGCGGTGCCGCGGTGGCTTGATATCTAAACATTGGCGCGATACGCTACGGGGTCTAGGGTGCGGTGGACGTTGTCTTTGAATTCCACGCGCCTGTTTCACCTACAGCAGCACTACGGACACTGCTCGGTTCGCGACCCTATCCCCACACCCCAGTGCCTCGCAATATACACACTGTGGTCTCCCCTCCCCTTCCCTCAATCCTGGCGCCTGTACAACGGCTCCTTTCGTAATTCTTCGAACACCACCTCCACTATCCCCACACCCTACGCCTTTTACACCTCTCCCCCCCTGCCCTCAATGCGGGGGTCTGTTTCCCCTGGCAGCAAAACATGGCGCCGCTGCCAAACCCTGAATGGTACGAAGAAGGGAAAGACACCAGGGTTACCTTCAAGAACCTAAGGTAAAGGGTGGGGGACACCTGAATCCGTGCTCTTATCTTGTCGCACCAGGACTGCCGTGCTGTGCTCGGGGCTCGGTAGATTGTCGCTTCCACCACAACCAAATCAGCGTCCATGCGAGTGGCGGCGGGTAGCGGTGCCAGTGAAGCTTCGTCTGCCATCTGCCACAATGTAACGTTCTCCGGTAGTTATCCTGGGACACACCCACCGGTGGAACCCAATGTTTGGGGTGGTGTGGACAAGGTTGGGTGGGCGGTAGATGGATGGGCGAACCGGAGGCAGGCGGAGGGCACCGTAACTGTAGCCTGGCCTATGCCCCTACTTACCAAGTGCTTTCCAATCGGCACACGCAGTAACAAGCGTAAATCGTACGCCCCATCGTCCAGAAGCACGACCTGCGTGTTTATTTTTTTTGAGAACATGCGTGCAGTCACTGAAAGACTTACCAGTGCGAGATAATACCCCACCCTTAGTCTTTATTGTGTTAACCCATGCTGCTGCTGCCTGCTGCTGCTGTTGCCGCGGCTCTCCCCCCCCGCACAAACCGATGTTTCCGTAGGAAGCTCCCGCTGTCGGTGCACACCGAGATCTGGTCCTCCACCTGGAAGTGGTACAGAGAATCGTTCGCGGAGTCCTTCGCGTGGAGCCGGAAGCGCAAGGAAGAGGCCAAGAAGAGGGAGGCCCACGAGAAGATGAACACGCTCCGGGGCATGGTGAAGGAGGCCCGCGAGGTCACGCACAACTCCCCGGAGGTGCGTGGGTATGTCTGTGTGGGTGTGGGTGTGTCTCTCTCTCTCTCTGGGAGTGTCTTAGTCACGTCGGAGTACGTGTTAGCACCGACCTCGTCAGTCGCGGTGCGGCTGAGCAGTGCGGCTGAACCGGAAATTGCTTCCAAAGGCCATGATCTAGGACCCCCAAGTGGAAGTATGAGTACGACGGCACACGGTCTGGTGTTTGGCGATCGCTGCCGGCACACTCTTTCGTAGGACGCACAACTCCCGCCCCCCCCCCCCCCCCCCCCCAAAGGGAGACGGGAGAAAAAAAAAAAAGGGGAAGAAAAAGGCCCCCCCCGAAAGGGGGGGGGACGCGTTAAAAGGAAGGGAAGGGCGAAGCCCGCGAAGGGGTGGTCGGGAAAAAACGAAAAACCCCCGGGTTGGGGGGGGGGTCGGCGGCCGCGGCCTGGGGGGCCCCCCGAAAGGGGGGGGCCAACGGAAGAAGGTCCCCCCGCGGGGCCCTCAGGGGCGGCTGGATTTTTTTGGGTTAAAGTTGGGGGGAAAAAAAAAATGGCTGGTTGGTGGGCCCAGGGCACTTTCCCCCACCCCAATTTTTTTGGGGACCAAAAGTTGAAAGGAAAAATTCCGGAAAAAAAGGGGGGACCAAAAAAACCCCCCTTAAAGGAAAAACAGCCAAAGAA